AGCTTTCCCCACTGAGGAACAATAAAGGGATTTTCTATTCTATTCATCTATCTTCAGCCTTTCCACTTCCTGTTTACTGTAGGTTAAATCTTTTCTCACGTGCCAACAACAAAATAAAATATCATTTTATCTTAAATGAAAATGCAACATCTCACCTGTTAACTTTCATGTTTTGGAGCAGAAAAAGAGCATAAAACCAACATATTTAAAGCTCAGTTTGTTCCACTGGTTTACTGTGATGCTCACCTGTTCCAGCCAGATACCTGCATCATGGGGTTGATCTGAGCTGAGGAGGAGACTCCTGTTGTTTTGTTCATCTTCATCATAATAATGACAACATTAGATGACAACAGGTGCTCACATAGGTTTGTGCTGATGAACATGTCTGAGCAGCTTGACCACGTTGTTGTGTGTCGGGGAGGAAACACAACCACAGAGTCGTGCTGGTTTGAGCGTGTCGCTGCTCGCTGGAGTTATATCAGCTCTGTCTGGACGTTAGTTGGAACACTTTTTCTTTCAGTCGTGAACACATTACTGAGCGGCTAGAATCTCCGTTTCTGGGCTTCAACGTCAGAAAATAGCTGAGTAAACTCGGCGCTGAGTGAGAGGAGTGTAGTTTGTCCGAGACAGCGGAGCTGCAGAGACCGGCAGCAGGCGCTGGAAAAAACACAAAGGAGGGGGCTTCGTCGGCTCCGCGCTGACGCCGCAAAGCATCATGGGAGTTGAAGTCTTTGTGGTAAAAACGGCCAGCGGGCCAGTTTTAATATATTTTTGATATTTATCTCGCGGGCCACATAAAAATGCTCCGCGGGCCGCATCTGGCCCGCAGGCCTTGACTCTGACATCTGTGTAATAGAGGAACCTATAGGAGAAATCGTCGCCACGTCCTACCCGTTGCAGAGCCACCACCACCCCGACAGGTCAGCCCTGCACGTCTCTGCCCCCATCCTGCTGATCCTGCCACACTGAACACTCCTTCCCCTGCTCTAGGACCCCAGCAGACACCTCCACCAGCTGGAACGCCCACTTCACATTCCAGCGTGCTACAAGTTCCTGCAGTTTGCTCTTCCGCCGAGATATCACACAGTAATGCTCCCTATGTGACACGCTCAGGCCGCATTTGTAAGCCTAACCCCAAGTACAATGTTTAAAAAAAATAATAAAAAAAGGGAAGGTGATGTATTAATGCTACTTTGATGGTTCTTATCTATCCAGTATTCAGTTGTGATGTCAGACAACCAGATTCATGTTTATGTTCCTGGACATTTGGGTTTGGAAAAAAAATAATAAATAAATGTTATAAGAATGTTATAAGGGTTTGAAAAAAAAATGTTACAAGACTTTATTAGTTAATCGCCAATTAATGTTCAACACCATTTCACATCTCCTACTTTGTAAAGTGATTTGGATAGTGGGTCATTAGTATTTAACTTTGTTATGCATAGCATATGTTGATTTTCATTGATTGCAATAACTAAAAGGAGAGGATGTAGATCAGTTGATCCAATGATTGAGTTATGTTGCAGATGGACTTTAACAGACACCGTAGTTGTGACGTGGGAGGTGTTCGTATGTACCACGCGTTCGAGCTACCCGGTTAACATGGCTGTGTAAGTTGCTGAGAGTAACCAGTAAAAGCTCTTATAATCAAATCCTGGTCTCATAGCTCATTTCCACAAACTAAGTTCATGTAATTATGCCAAATACTTAAAAATTTCCTTTTTAAGGAACCTAGCAGATTGCATGGAGACACTGACTAGTGTCAGCGTCTTTACAGCAATCCCCATACTAAACAAGCATTTTGCAATGTGGAGAGGAAAACTCCTTTTTAACAGGAAGAAACCTCCAACAGAACCAAACTCCGTATGAGCAGCCATCAGGACCTCAGAGACTTCTGCACTGAGCGGGTGATTTTTTGAAGGAGGACATCTTTGGAATTGAACTAACTCTCTGTCAACAGAAACACAAATCAAACACCATTAGAGACTCCCCAGTCCTCTCACTCATGAACAAATGAGGAGATTTTTGTAGGGACAGTTAATGATTAAATAAATAAGCATATATTAGACAAATGAAAAAGGATCAGGCCTCTGCTTTTCGCAGATGATGTGGTCCTGTTGGCTTCTTCAGAACCTGATCCCCACCCATCACTGGAGCGGTTCGCGGCCGAGTGTGAAGCAGCTGGGATGAGAATCAGTTCCTCTGAATCCGAGAAGTGGGAAAAGGGTAGAATGCCTACTCCAGGACAGAAATGAAGTCCTGCCCCAAGTGGAGGAGTTTTAAGTATCTCAGGCTGTTGTTCACGAGTGAGGGAAAACTGGAGCGTGAGATCGATAGGCGGATTGGTGTTGCGTTTGCAGTGATGCAGGCGTTGTACCGGACCGGTCTGTCGTGGTGAAGAGAGAGCTGAGTCAGAAGGAGAAGCTCTCGATTTACCGGTTGATCTATGTTCCTACCCTCACCTATGGTCATGAGCTTTGGGTAATGACCGAAAGAACGAGATCGCAGATACAAGCGGCCAAAATGAGTTTTCTCCGTAGGGTGTCTGGGCTCTTCCTTAGTAATAGGGTGAGAAGCTCGGTCATCCGGGAGGGGCTCGGAGTAGACCTGCTGCTCCTCCACATGGAGAGGAACTGGTTGAGTTGGCTCGGACATCTGGTCAGGATGCCTCCTGGACGCCTCCCTGGTGAGGTTTTTCAGGCACGTCCAACCGGGAGGAGACCTAAAGGTAGACCCAGGACACGCTGGAGGAACTAGGTTTCTCATCTGGCCAGGGAATGCCTTGGGATTCCCCCATAGAAGCTGGCCCAAGTAGCTGGGGAGAGAAAAGTCTGGGCTTCACTTCTTTGGCTGCTGCCCCCGCGACCCGACCTTGGATAAGTAAGCCATAACAGATGGATATTTAACATACCTGATGAGCTCAACAAACAAAACAAATGACATTAAAGGCTGCCCGTTTCAGTTGCAGTTTCTTACACTTTATGTTTAATTGTGTAAAAAAACTGTCGATTGCTTTTTGGAATATTGCAATAACTGGAAACGTACAGTAAACTATCTGATGGCATCTTCATCTGCGTGAGTTCAGATAAATGCAACGCTATCTCAGTGGCCTAGTGGTAGGGTGTCCACCCTGAGACTGGGAGATCAGGGTTCAATTCCTGGTCGGGTCATACCAAAGACTTAGGAAAATGGGACCCAATGCCTCCCTGCTTGACACTCAGCATTAAGGGGTTGGATTGGGGGGTTAAACCACCAAATGGTTACCGTTGCGCGGCTGTGTCTGCAGCTCACCGCTTCTCCAGGGGATGGGTCAAATGCGGAGAACAAATTTCGCACACACATCAGTGTGTGTGACAACTAATGGGACTTTAACTTTAATTTTAAGTTGCTGCGAGGGTTTCCCGATGGCTATGCAAGGATGGACAGGGTTGAGCAAACTTTTCTAAACATCCATCAAGACAGAGCACGAGCTTGTGATTGGTCAGGACGCCGCAATCTTTAAATTCATCAAGAGCACCGCCATTGCTCTCTCAAAAATAAAGAGAGCCAAAGTTATTTAACAGCAGAAGTCCAAATATACGAACACCCTGGAGTCTGAAACAATATGTAGAATACAGTGCTTATCTGTCACTAAACTAACTTGAAAATTTCTACTAATTATGTATAAATGTAATTCTAATAATGTCCAATTCTTGAAGTTTTGTATAAAATCAAAAAAGGTGTCATTGTAAAACTCTGTCCTTCATTAATTCTGCTGTTCTTTTCTGCTTCAGCTTTTTGCCTCATCAGACCTTCAGTCTGATGTTCCTGAACCTGTCTCTACTGCTGAGGTCAGCACATAATTCATGTTTTTTTTTACAATTTTCTCATTATTATGAGTCAGGTTTTTGGTAGTTTTTACAGTCACTAATAATTGCGAATCTGTTTTATATACACAGAGAATTCCAGTTTCATCCCTGGGAAATCTGGGAAATCCCTCAACCTTTGACGCTAACAATAATGGTAAACAAAATGATGTAAAATGCTGCAGTAAAAGTATATATTAATGCTCAGACATTTTGTGCACAGTAGGTAAAATTTATTTGTTACTCAGATGAAACCTCGGGCAGAACAAACCTACGTTTTTGGACCAAAATTACAATTTCTAACAACATGATCATGGAATTGTCAAAGTTGCAATTGTTTTGCAGTACTCCTGAAAATCCCAGGATCTGTTGTGTCAAGTATTTTAGACATCTGGTATTTTCCTCTGTGTTTCATTATAGCTGCAAATGCAGGCTGTCTGTGGTTGTATTTTAGATATCCAAACATACATTTGTAAGAATTGTATTGAGGATATTCTTAATTTATATTTTAAATTGTAAAAACACTTTGAGATATCAGTAATTACATTTATGACTAGCAACAATGTATTTTAACATATCCAAAAAGATTTTCATGATATCTGGTTACAGACAGCAGGAATATATTTCTAAAATAAACAACTGAATTATAGCTATCTCACATGATAGTTTCTCCTATTGACAATGTTCATTCTAGACAGGAAGAATGTCATTAGGAAGCACTAAATACCCATACACATGAATGGGAAATGTGACGTGATTTGTCCTAGGAAGAATTATATTTCAGACAGGGTTTGACGTTAACACTCGCCAAATGGGAGTCAATTCTCCATTTGGCGAGGAAAGTTGGGAGTGCCATCTGCATCTAAGGTGACTAAATGTTTGCACCAAATTAGTTCTGTTTATCTTATGTCTTTTTGACAGACTTCTGACGCTCCTCTCCCGTCTGCATGTTACGTACACAAGCATATGTGAAATGTTACCACTGCACCCTACATAATTTCCACCTGCCCCATACACATCATACATATCGATGTAGCGGTTAGCTAGCATCATTCCATTATTGGTTCTTTTTAAAACACAGGAAAGGTTTTTCTTTACCTTGCTGACGTACGTTTCGTTTGCTGACTGCCTGTGGATGTTTTGCAGTCGGCAAACGAAACGTACGTCAGCAAGGTAAAGAAAATCCTTTCCTGTGTTTTAAAAAGAACCAATAATGGAATTAGAAACTAAATACAGTAAGAACACACCAAAGATATCTAGCATCATGTTAAAACTAGGGAGGAAATGTGGCAATTTTAAACTGGATCCAGCCAGCCTTCAAAAAGAAAACAGTTTGAAATGGCCAGTATGCTAGAAAGAAGAATCGTAGCAACTCACTTGTCATGGAAAAAGACAAGAAGCTCAAGAATGTTCGAGAACATGAAAACCAACCAGGTTCAAACTGAGTCTCCACTCGTCACACCCACAGTGTTGGCACTAATGACCATGTCAGAGCAAACAATTAAAACGATATTTCGTACCATACATGCTAATGGAAAGAAGGCAGGGCAATTTTCTGACTCGAGTTGAGGTTCCTGTAAATCTTTGCTTCTTTGAAATGTCCCTGTTCTTAAAAGGAACCCAGGTTACAAAAACTTGTGGTTCTTTAAAGACAAATGTTAGTATTAGCTATATTAAAATGGTGTAAAAAACCTTCTTGATCTCTTAGTTTTTATAAAAATTGTAAAAATAGTTTAACTTGTAGGTCACCATCATTTGTGTCGCAATGCACTCTGGGTAGTGACGTCATTTAGTTGTACTTTGGTTGCAGCTTTGGGATCCTGTAGGGACTGTTCAGCGCCATCAACATGTCATCTGTTCAGCCTTTTCAATTTGAACCAGAGTGAAACATTAATGAGGACATCACTGACCATGTTTCACAAAATGAGCTGCAAAATGAAGAGCAAGAAGGGCAGGATGAAGTGAGTGCAGGACTAGGGATGGGTACCTTTGGCATTTGAATCGATCCGGTACTAATTACCGGTACCTACGAATCGATACCGGTACTTAACGGTACCAATTTTCGATACTTTTGAGTGTTTATTATTTTAATTCTCTTTTATAATTAAATACATATTTTTCTCAATATATAACAATATTTGATAAATATCACGATAAATAACATATAACTGTTTGTATTTTAACATTGTCCTTGTAGTTTTATAAGCTGATAATTAAACTGAAGCAAACATCTTTACTGTGAACTAAATTTACCGTGTATCTTCATTCCTTTTGCCGTCCTTTTTCATTTGATTTTTCCTACTGGGAAGTTAGAATTTCCAAGGAGAAAGCGAACGCACCATTAGCTGACAACAATGGTGGCAATGGAAGCTAACATATCAAGCTAACAATATCTTAAACAGTTTATTTAGCTGCTGGAGCAGATTAAAACGATGCCTCACAATTAGATCGTCACTGGTTTCGTCTTCACCCGTCACATTTAGTAAAGTGAAGCCCAACTTTAGAGCGCGTTCATGTTGTTCTAGTCGGAAATTCGGAGTTCCGAGGAGAAAGCGAACGCACCATTAGCGAAACGGAAGCTAATATATCAAGCTAATTATATTTACCTACTGGAGCAGATTAAGATGAGGATGTCTCACTTAGATAGTTGTCGCTGGTTTCATCATCCAGTTACCCATCACATTTAGTGAACTGGACCCAAGCTTTAGTCTGCGTTCTCTCTACCATGCTGCTCTGTTTACAACTGGTTCACAGCAAGCGACGACAAAACGCTACTGCGCATGCGCAGCTGTCTTGGCAAGTTCTCGTTAGGATGGACGGGTACCGAAACGAGGCACCGTTTGAAATGACGTGAATCGGTGCTCGGTCGGTACTATGGAATTCGGTCGGTACCTTAAAGAGTACCGAATTCGGTACCCATCCCTATGCAGGACAAAACCGGTGGTGCGTGTGCAGCAAATGCGTCTCCATGGTAACCGAGAGGGAGAGTGTTTGTTGTCAAGAGCTCACATTTTTGTCAGCAGAAGTTAAAGGTAAGCTATCTTGTGGCCAAACTGATCCAACTCACTTTTCTCTGTGTGTGTTCCACGGTAACAACTTGCCGCACATCAGCTGGCCACTGTGCCTGCATCTTGACATGTCTGAATCTGTCTTACTGGCAGCATCGTAAAATTTTTGAGAGCACTGTATTGATACACTTACTGCTTGTTTTACTGACGGTATAGGTGAATTATCAGCTTCATCTGTGGCAAGTGGTGTGTCCAATGGTTCGCTCAAAGTGACAGTAGCGGTGCTACATCGATATGTGTTCCCCCCTCAAGATCAATTTCTTTTCCACCTGGCTGCGAGTGGTAATGATCCACTTACAAAAAATAACCCTCACCCGTACCCTAACCATAACCATCCTGTCACCAAAAATTTATGTTTTGCATAATTATAATTTATGACGGTACTCTGTGTAGCTTGTTTTAGTTTGTTTTAGGGTTATGGTTAGGGTACGGGTTGGGGTAAGGGTTAGGACACGTATTTGTTGTGAGTGGATGGTTCGAACTTGCAGCTGAGTGGAAAAGAAACAGATCTCAAGGAGGGAACACATATCGACATAACACCTGCAGCTGCAGGACTGGGTTGTCTGCTCAGGAGAGCTTCCAGCGTCTCTTGTCTATGGCGCTTTTTACTGCATGTTTCACTTTCTCTCCGAGGGCATTTAGGCTCCTTGTGTGGAAAAATGGTCAGTACAACATTTAGTTTCAGCCTTCGCTTATACCCAGCCACTCCGGTGAAATATTTAAGTAGTTGTGGCTAAGTATAAGCCTCATAAGCATCAGGAGAAAAATGTTGGATCTTTCCTCTTCTTGTCAGTAGGAAAGCTGTGTCAACTCACATCACTCCCCATGCTGCCTTTTGACTGGAAATTGCGTCCAAAAGCAGCGGCATTTTTACCAACTAATTATTACGGTAAGCGCGTAAACAAACACTAGCATCAATAGCTAATCTTCCGAGTTTAACCAATATACATCATCGCCCCAGAGTGCATTGTGTGCGGAAAAAAAATCACATCCTAGGTATGTTAAAATATGTACTAAATATTGTAGATTTCTAAATAAATGGCAATATTTTTTGTGTTTCTTACAACATATTATGGTGCAACAAGAAATTGTGGCTGATTAGGACATACATGTCCTTTTAAAATCATTGGTGAAATATTGCTAATTAATCATAATAATACCAAATGTTAACAAAAAAGGCAAGTTATATAGATTAACATTGATACATATTTATGATACGAAAATCTACAAATATAATTGTATTTTGAATTTATTCAAATTTCTTTTTTATTCTCTGACCCAAATGTGATGCTGTGGCACAAAGACGGTGTTAGAAGTAGATTTTATGGACAAAAAGTCTGACTTGATTTCAGAAAAAGCTAATTTTAAAATATTTCTAAAAAAAAATAATCAGAAAAGATAAAAAATGTGTGCTTTTTATATTTATGTTTTAATTATGTTGTCACTGCTCTGTTTGGATTCAACACAATTTACACTCACCTTAAGGATTTTTAGGAATACCTGTTCAACTTCTCCTTAATGCAATTATCTAATCAACCAATCACATGACAGTTGCTTCAATGCATTTAGGGGTGTGGTCCTGGTGAAGACAATCTCCTGAACTCCAAACCGAATGTCAGAATGTGAAAGAGAGGTGATTTAAGCCATTGTGAGCGTGGCATGGTTGTTGGTGCCAAACGGGCCGGTCTGAGTATTTCACATTATACTCAGTTAGTGGGATTTTCACCCACAACCATTTCTAGGGTTTACAAAGAATGGTGTGAACAGTCTTAGGTTTATTTGCTTAAACAAAATTATAACTTGTGTTTTAAGAGCGTAACATGTTTTAAATTAAATTATTTATCATCAGTTTCATTCATTTTAATAATGTACTAAGCAGGAAACAGAACAACCGGTGTACAGTTTTTGATAAAGTTACATTTGTAATTAACATACTGACATATTTTTCCTGTAGTTTTCATTACACAACTTTGTGGAGAAAGCAGAGGAAGGAAGAGAAACAGAGATGCAGTGACCAGAGGAGTTAGACAGAGAGAAAGACGAAGAGGTAAGAATCTTGAATCTTCAAAGACAGTTCAGCCAGTTTTTCTTGCATATGGACTTCAAATGTACAAACACTGAAATTAATATCCTCGAAAAGTCTTTTTTTGTCTGGGTTTGATCATTTCTGATTAATTTCTTTAGTTTATCTGACTTAAAATACTAACTATGATGTTTCATAATCTTTAGCAGAACTTAAGGACATGTAATTATGATTATAATTCCATCACCAAAGAGGATATATTATGATTCATTTTTGTTTTAATAGTTCTATTGTCTATACAAAGCATGTTGATTTAGGACTTTGCATAAAGTTCCTTAAATCTCACATAAAGTGGGGTTATTGTATTATTTGTAGCTACAACTTTTTTTCAGTGGGAAAACAAGCCTTTGCTGGCCATATCCAACCAACCCCCAGGAGATGGGGTGTTTGCCAAAGGAACAATGGCAGAATATCTTTAAATCAGTCCTCAAATATTGGCTGGTCCATTCCAGTCGGCCCACCTTGCATGGCCAAGTTTTCTTCTCGGCAATGTGGCTGAATCTGGGCATGTTCAAAACGATGCGCAAAGGTGTCTGTGAGCAGTGTTGCTTTTGGTAACTGATTCGAAGCACACTGCTTCCTACTAGTGCTGCTACGATTTGTCGATTTATGTTAATGTAGTTAGCAGATGCTTTTGTCCAACAACTTGACATCACTCACGAAGAGGAGGGAACAAGAAGTGGACAGTAGAGAGGGGGGACGGGTGCAGGGAGGGTGCTAGTTTAGAAGATGCTCTCTGAAGAGCAGGGTCTTCAGGAGTTCCTTGAAAATTGAAAAGGAAGCCTCTGTTCTTGTAGTGCTTGGAAGGTCATTCCACATTTGTGGAACGATGCATGAGAAGAGTCTGGATTGTCCTGAGCGTGGTGTAGGCACTGCTAGCCGACGATCCTGTGATGACCGGAGCGGCCGGGCCGAGACGTAAGTCTTTGCAAGAGGATTCAGGTAGATGGGAGCCGTACCATCTCGGACTTTGTATGCTAGTGTTAGCAATTTGAATTTGATGCATGCTGCTAGCGTTAGCCAGTGGAGCTCATTGAACAGAGAGGTGACGTGTGCTCTTTTTGGCTGATTGAAGACCAGACGCGCCGCTGCGTTCTGGACCATTTGAAGAGGTCTCAAAGTACAGCCTGGAAGACCAGTTAGAAGGGCATTGCAGTAATCGAGGTGGGAGATGACAGTAGATTGCACCAGGAGCTGGGTGGCATGTTGTGTTAGGTATGGTCTGATCTTTCATATGTTATACAGCGCAAAGCGGCATGAACGAGCAACAGAGGCAACATGATCTTTAAAGCTCAGGTGTTCATCAAACACAACACCCAGATTTGGAACTGCCTTTGAAGGAGCCAGAGATAGGAAGTCATTTTGGATTGAGATATTGTGCTGTATGGATGGTTTTGCTGGGATGACAAGTAGTTCAGTTTTAGAGAGGTTGAGTTGGAGATGGTGGGATTTCATCCATTTTGATATGTCAGAGAGACAGTTTGATATTCGTGTAGAGACAGTGTGGTCGTCTGGTGGAAATGACAGATAGAGCTGGGTGTCGTCTGCATAGCAGTGGTAGGAGAAGCCATGTGATCGAATGATCTCACCCAGACTGGAGTAGAGACTTGAGGGTATCATTTAGCCAAGGGTGCGACTGACGACATGACGATTTGTCATGATGACGTCGACAAACGAAATTGTCGACAATAAATGTAATAGTCAATGTCATCATTTATTCTACGAAGCACTATTTTTTTTATTAATCTTGTTAATTAAACAGAGGTGCACTGTTCTCGGGTATGATGCCCATGCTTCACACCTGTGTGTGTGGGTCTTACGACACCCACACATTTTCTAATGAATAGGTTAAACACTCACGTTTCACAGTTTCAAACAGCAACAACAGTTTGGTCCCCCAGCGATGCGCTTGCTGTTTTGCCCTCTCTCTTTGGTCACTAAAACCCATACCTTGACACACCTTTATGTCAGAACTCCATTTGATTTAGCCATTGGTTTCATTATTGACTTGAATTTCTACAACTGCTTTGCATTGTTCAAGTGGTAAAAAACATGCTTTCTTATCACAAACTCTCACAGCAAGCTCATCCTCATACTGCAGCTTTTTTTTTTTTTAGCTCAAACGCATTCTGGCACTCAAGTAGCTAAATCAAGTATAAATGTGCACCACACCTGCATATACATAAACTCAGAGGTTTTATATTGATATCAAAGACATGTGCAGACTTAGCCTTGTTCTCTGTTTCAATTTTAAAAAAAGATATATTGGAAAAAGTTAACAAAACATGGAGCTTAAGTTTTTATTTTCAAAGTTAGATAAGGCAAAACTGATTTAATTGATTTTGGATCGATTTCATATAAATTTTGCAATCAAACCAGGTCTGCAGACACTTCCGGGTACAAAGTCGTTGTAAAATATATTACAGTTTAAATAATTTACAAAGCAAAAAATCTACTTCTTCTACCAAACGCACAAAAACCTTATAACCCTCCCACTGTCCTAATGGGTGTGACCCCGCGAGGACCACCTCACCCCTGCCACGTGGACCTCAAGGGATAAACCATCAACCCTGCTCAATGGTCAACTGTCCTCGTGGGGTCACACCCATTAAGGTTGGTCTATGCTTGACGCGTCCGCGCGGTCCGCGCGGCGAAATTGCGTCATTTTAACAACCACGCCCCTCCACCGCGTCTCCGCATCGCCCAAATTTTCCGCAGGAAGATTTCTAACCACACGGACGGTCGGACGCGGAAAAACATGGCGGACCGGCAAGAACTAGTATGGCAGAGGTTCGTAAATACAGACATTTGTATGATTCAGCTCTCAAAGATCACCGGGATCAACATGTTATTCTTGGAGAGAAATAGCTCGCACTGTCGGAAAAGACAAGGACGCTGTTAAAAAATGCTGGAATGCCATGTTGTAAACAACAGTAATTTTTACTTCTACTATGGTGTAGTGTTGGATGCATGCCGTAGAGCTCCATGCTGCCCCCTACAGTTTGGGAGAATATTGGCTCACCGCAGAGACAAGCCGCACAAACCATAAACGCTGCAAGTTGTGAAGCGCGTTCCATCCGCGAGCCGCGTCACCAAGCGGAAAGTGAATGCGTCAAGCATAAACCAAGCTTTAGGACAGTGGGAGGGTTAAAGAGAGCGATTGTATGTTTAGAAGTAGGCCTGGGACAAATTTTGCTGGACGATATATTGTCCAACAAATTATTGACGATAAACTATATTTTTGTCAACATTATCGTGACCAATATAACCTCTTATGTAATGTTAAAAGCCGTAGCATTTGGCTTTGCAATAAGGCTTCCTCTCAGAGACACAAAGATTGTCAATAACTGACAGGATGCTTCACTGCATTCATTTCATCCTGCCTAGTCACTAAGGCATCCAAATGTAGAGACTGATGCACAGAGTGAACCCTCTTGTCATCCAGCATCTTTGGAGGTAAGAAGGAAAACACATAAATGCAGGCAAAAGGCAATATATTGAGGCTGGAAAAATTATTGAGTTCATTTTCATCCATCATACGATTAATTGATTTATTGATCATCATCCCAGCCCTATTTAGAAAGCAAAATAACATGAGACAACCATGTGTATGTACCACACAAAAAGTATGAGCATTTTGATCCATGGAATGGTATGGTAGAACAGCATAGAGAAAAACTATTGTACATTTAAAAAAACTATAAAAATGACATTATTGGGAAATTTACTAATTAGAAGAAGAAAAATGATATGGTATTAAGTGTTTGACAGAAATAGTAATCACAAACATTGAGCTTGTTTATGATGCAAGTGTGAATGTGTATTTGAGTTTTTGCAAAAGGAGTGATAAAATTTTGATGTAAAAGGCAAGGAAAAGCTATCTAAATTCTGTATTTTCCTTTTGTTTATGACTTTAGAATGTTTCAATGTTCTGATTTGAATAAGAAAACAGCGGTATCTAGTCTTATCACCTCTGACTAGCTAACAGTAGCACGACTCTTATCATTGAATGTGTTTGCTCTGCAGTATTGATTTATTGTTGTTTATTTCTACAAATAACACAAGCCAGAAGCAATTCTGCCATTGTATGGCATTGCTAATGCTAACGCGTAGATTCAAGTAGCTGACACATTCTCTACTCTCTCCTGGACACTAAAGCTTCTCTCGTTATGAGCCAAGATGGGTGAGACCATGAATGTATTTAGTTTGTCCTATCAAGACCTATCAATCTTTTCGACTCCTGTTGGCAGCTATTGCGAAAAATACATGTCAAAAGACATATTTCATGTAAAGCCTGCATGTTATACTCAAAGTGATCATCTTTTTATCCTTTTAGAGTGCAAGAACCACAACACTGAGAACGTCCAGATATCCTCATTAAACAAATGTTCATTGTGCCATGGACCATATTCACCACTGAAGTGGTGGGGACTTCAATGTAAAGGTTAGTTAAAACTGATTTTTGTTTATCTGACACTGCGTATCAAAATACTTTAATTGTTGATGTAATTTGTTTAAATTTTAAGCAATCTTAACCAAAGGTAATGCCATCTTACCTCTTTTTGAGGAAACTAGTTACAGGTGCGTTTGACTATATCTAGCTGCAATGCTTCAACTTTGCACACCCACTCAGGCTCTTTCCTCACCAGATAGGTCTGGTCATTGTTGACGAATATCTTTGTCTGGTATTGGCTTATTCAGATTGAGAAGAAGAATATTGATTCTTTGATGAAGATCCAGTGAAAGAAAGTAACGCTACATTTTTGCTGCACCCAACAACAGAGTCTGTGCCAGATTTGAAGCTTATTTAGGTTTTTTCACTGTGTTTGGGACATAGTGGATGTAGAAAGGATGGTAAAAACATTACCAATGGTATAAGACAGAGCAGGAATTTAAAAAAATGTTGTGGCGACAGATACATTATTCATTTCATTTCATTTATTTATAAAGCCCCTTCTGCGACCAATGCAGATGCCCAAGGTGCTGAACAAAACACAATAAAAACATAAAACCATCAGAATAAAATATAACAATCGTAAAACCAGCATAAAATCAATCAAAAGAGGAGAGTAAAAGCAAAAAATAAAATTCAGAAAAAGATCGGGGCATCGAAACCGGGTAAAATATGCTAATTATGTATGGAAGTGAAAAAGTGCAACATCATCATTTAAAATTTTTTAAAATTCAAATATTATTAATTTTTGAAATAAAAATACATTTGTAAAAGGATGTTACATCTATATGTATGACAACACAAAAAATATGATGAAAATTTCATAATATGTAAAATTGGGAGGAACGTCCGTAAAAGTTGAGCAGCCTGATGACATCATAATATGTAAATTAGGACATAGAATTTTCTACAGTCAGAAAATTTGGGACATACTATAAAATTTTTCTAATTTACAATAGTCTCTTACCATTCTCAAGCTACAGCATTCTGAAATATTGGATTTTTTTTTTTACCTCTAGCACCCAGTGAGTCTTAGATTTTTCTGGGCATCCCAAGGACCAAGGTTTTCACGTCAAGTGGATTATGAACATAAACAGAAACAGATTTGATTCCAAACAAAACAACATGACCTGTAACTCTCATCAAACCACATTAACTAGCATTCCGAATAGCAAGCAGCTAACCCATACCTTGCTATTGTTACTTGCTAAGTTTCCTTGGTTAATGTGCAACTCTAATCAGTTTTCAAGCAGGTCTTTTGAGAATTTTTTTCCACAGAAATATTCTGTTTCTTCTTATAACTTTGGAAAATTAAGTACAAATATTTCTAAATCTGAGTTTATGAGAGGCCTAAACAGCCCCGAATTAAAGTTGGTAGACAAAGAATGCAACATTACATCCTTTTTACACAACAGTCAAATAAATATTTAAACTTTTTTATGCAATGGCTTTTGCTTGCTATTTGTGTTAATTCAAACAAACACTATCTATCTGCACCTCTGTTAAATTAGAGAAACCATTGTGGCCAATGAGTCAAAAATTTCACCCACCCTGGCATCTGGGATTACTTAGTTTTGTGAAATGGCTCTAACAATTTCATTGAGTTTATTCTTGTAATAATTATTATAAAAAAACTTTGACAATATTGATTAAAATTATATTAATAATAAATAAATTTATATATATTACATAATCAATAATTATGTATTTTAGTATTTGATTTTTCCTTGTTTCTATTTAAGGAAGTCGAATTTACTGAAAGAAGTGTTTTTTTATTTTGTTTTGACAGTGTGCAATACAGTATGGCATTCCTATTGTTTTGAGAGAACATTTAAAGGTCAAAATATTTTGGTAAGTACCTCTTAATATCTTTCATGTAGTCTACATAGAATTTATATGCTTTCAAAATATTTCACTTAAAATGACCAATTAAAAACATAGGACTAGGTTCACAAATCAATGTATACTGAATTTGATCTGGTTTTTGATGGCTTCAATGGGATTTAGATTTTTTGTGAAATAACATTAGTCTCTACAGGTTTCTTTTAACATATATCAATTTTGGAGTACTTTGTAATGGGGCTGGGCGATATAGCGATATTTTAAAAATATCGATATAATTTTTAAACAAGATACGAGATGACTTTATATATTTATATCGATATAACTGGTCAAACAGCTATGCTAGTGATTAGTCGCTATGCTAGCGACATGTTTGTTCCATCTCTAAGCGGCTATTGCGTGCATTCTCGCAAGTTTGCTCAATCTGAGAGCCTCTGGGTAAATGTGCTGGTCTAAAATTTGCATTTGGCGTCCTGGTTTTTAATTATTTGGAGACGTTCAACGCCAATGGGGTTCTTTTTATCCATCCTGCTTGTGTGGAGAGAGGAGCCAAACACCTTCCTCCCGTGTAATCAGGAAACATCTACATATAGCCGGAGTGGCCAAATTACCTCAAACATATTGTAAGGGTCTGAATAGTAAACTATAGGGTTAATGTTTTATTTTGAAGGCAATAATAAAAGAGCAACAAGAGACTCTGAGTCATTACAGTCATTAATATGAGCCAATACTGTTAGATTCCATCAATTCAGTTCAATTTATTTATATAGCGCCAAATCACGACAAGAGTCATCTCAAGGCACTTCACATAATAAACATTCCAATTCAGGTCAGTTCATTAAGCCAATCAGAAATAATGTTTCCTATATAAGGAACCCAGCAAATTCCATCAAGTCACTGACTAGTGTCAGTGACTATACAGCAATCCTCATACTAAGCAAGCATATAGCGACAGTGGAGAGGAAAACTCCCTTTTAACAGGAAGAAACCTCCAGAGGATCCTGGCTCAATATAAGCAGCCATCTACCACGACTCACTGGGGATTCGCCCTAATAACTAATAACTCCACGGTGCATGACCCATGTGATCTTCAGTAGAAGCAATTACATCATCATAAATTTAGTTTAAAATGATAGATAATTTTTTCTCTAGAAAAGAAATATACGACTTGGCCCACCTCTAGAAGACATTTAAATAATTGGAAAATAATTATAAATATACAATTAAAAAGTGCCTGTGGGACATTTGATACACCTCTAACTCTCAATTGTGTGTGTGTGTGTGTGTGTGTTAACAGACAGCTGTACCAGAGAATAGGCACTAAGGTTGAAGTTTGACAAGAATCAATACATTTTTATGCATTTAATCTACTGATGTATGTTTATATTTTCTGTTCGCAGCTTGAAGTGAGTTAACATGTAAATATTTTACAGAAGGAAAAATATCAAGATATATATCATATATCAGAATTCAGCAAAAATATATCGAGATATAAGTTTTGGTCCATATCGACCACCCCTACTTTGTAATATCATTCCATACATTGTGGCAATAAGTTCCTTTTTTTAACTTTTCAGAAAATGTAAGTTTCATCACATTGTACATTGTATTTTATTCTACTGCAATTACAACACTACAAGATTCTGTGAATAATTTGGGATATAAGCTACAAAGACAAGGATAGAAAAGAGAACTTCCAGTAACTAAGCTCTAGTTTATGCTTTTATTTGACCTATTTTATATAATTTTACTTTCTATTTTGTTCAGGATAAAAATGAAACAACTGACAAGGAAACAGATGAAGAAACAGATGATGGTTCAGATGACCGTGATCCAGACTATGTTCCCAATCCAGAGAGTGAAGAAGAAGAAATAAGCCCAAGCCCAATGCTACTTGCTGCATCACCATCAACACCTAAAATTTTAACTGAAGAACACAGTCATTTGGCTGAAAATCAAAAACCCTCTTCAGACAGAATTTCAGAGAAAGATGATACAAAATCACTAGCAAAAGGTCAAAATTTTTGTTTTGTTTGTAAGCAGGGTCACTTCAAAATTGCAAGACATTTTAAAACCCATGAGAAAGAAGACAGAGATATTGCTAAAGCTCTTAGTTTTCCCTCTGGCTCAAAAAAAAGAAAGGAATTGTTGGAGAAACTACGAAATCGGGGAAACTTTATGTACAACAGTGAAATTTTGACAAAAGGAAAGGGTTCACTTAAAGTTAAGCGATCAGCAAAGGGTGATGGTACATATGAATATTGCATCCACTGCAAAGGAATGTTTCTCCGAAAAGAGTTGTGGAGACACATGAGAAGATGCTCCAGCAAGACAGAAGAAGAGCACATAGGAAGAAAGCGTGTGCTTGGCTTAGCATCCCTTATGAAGTCAAGTTGTTCTAAGACTGTTGAAAGTAATGTCCTGAAGTTGCTGAGTCGAATGCAAGATGATGACATTGCTAGTGTTGTTCGCAATGACTTTTGCCTTTTGCGATTTATAGAATCTTTATACAGCAGACATGGCCACGACCAGTCAAAACACGACTACATTCGGCAAAAATCCCGTGAACTAGGAAGGTTTTTGATAACACTTAGAAAAATCTCCCCAATTGTGAACCTCGAGAAAGCTCTGAAACCTGAACATTTTTTGACTGTAATAGAGGCAGTTAAACAAACAGCAGGCTTTGACAAGGCAAAGAACAACTACAAAACTCCAAGTCTTGCATTAAAAATTGGACACTCCCTCTTAAAAGTTAGTGACTTAATTCACTGCCATGCTCTTATGACTGCAGATGAACCTCTAATCAAGTCATCAGAAGCTTTCCAAAAGCTTTATCAGTCAAATTGGTCAGAATATATTTCATGCTCTGCCTTAACTACAATGAGCGATCTCAATTACAATAACGCTGTCAAGTTACCACTCACTCAAGATGTGGCTAAACTACACAAGTATCTTGACAAATTGACAGAGTCAGCAATAAAAGATTTAAAAGCTGACGCAAACGCAACCAACTATTCAATACTAGCAAAAACAACATTGACAAAGATAATCCTCTTCAATAGAAGGCGTGTTGGAGAGGTGTCAAAGATGAAACTCACCAACTTTATGGACCGAAACCGTTCTAGCACCCAGGAAAAAATGGGTCTCTCGGAATATGAGCAAAAGCTCTGCAGTTACTTTGAACGTGTGGAGCTGAAAGGAAAGAGAGGAAGAAAAGTGGCAGTGCTCTTAACACCAGAAATGACCAGAGCTGTCGAGTTGATGGTGACAAAACGAAAGGAATGTGGCATTCCAGATGACAACACTTACCTGTTTGCGGTACCAAAGTGCCTAACATATTACAGAGGACATGATGCACTGAGAACGCTTTCAGAGCAGTGTGGTGCTAAGAAGCCAGAGTACTTACGATCCACTCAGCTACGAAAGGAGATTGCTACAACTTCTCAAATTCTGAACCTAAAGGACAATGAACTTGACCAGCTTGCAGATTTCTTGGGACATGACATATCCGTGCATAGACAATTCTACCGACTGTCTGAGCCAACAGTTCAGAGTGCCAAGATTTCAAAGTTGCTTCTTGCATTGGAGAAGGGAAGGCTGCGGGAGCTCAAAGGAAAAACTCTTGATGATATTGAAGGTAATTACTTTAAATTGGTTGCCTGTGCTTTAAAACAAAACAGCTATTTTATACTGATTAACCCAGATAATTTTATTAGCAATCCTCCTATTGGTTATCCTCCCATTGGTTATCAGCAGTGTCTCAGGCGGTAGAGCAGGTTATGCAGTAAGGAAGGTTGTAAGTTAATCCCAGTTCTCAGCAGAGAATGCCACATTTGTGTCCTTAGGATTAATACTTAATTCAACTTGCCTTCTGGTGATTATCAGAGGGACCGTCTGTGCCAAATGCTCGGCAGGACTCTCCTTCGTCATTGTGCCTCAGGGCAGCTGTGGCTACTATGTAGCTCATCACCACCAGGATCTGAATATGTGTGTGTGTGAATGGGTGGATGGCTGATGGTGTTGTGAAGCGCCTTGGGGGTTGTAGAACCCTAAAAGGCACTATACAAATCCAGGCCATTTACCATTTATCAGCTTGAAATATTTTTGTTGTAAAATTTGCATGAATCATATATACTATTCCAAATTGTTGAGAGTTGGGACAGGCTCTTAGTGGCTGAGAGCTGTTATCAGGTTATTGCCATCTGTGCTTTTAACTAGAATAGCAAAGCTACCCAAGACCCTTTACTACTAATCAGTCATTCACCCATTGACATGATGGTGGTGATGAGTTATATCATAGTCTCAGCTGCCCTGACGTACACAGACAAAAGTAGGGCTGCCGTACAATAGCGCCACCAATCCCTCCAATCACCACCAACAGGCAAAGTGGGTGAAGCTTCTTGCCCAAGGACAACACTGCAACAGATGGACCACAACCTTCTGGTTACAGGTTGAGCACTTAAGAACGCTGCCAGAGTCACTAAAACTACATCAAATGCTTTGAGGACAGCTTAGTGGAGTTTTGGAGTTATCAAGCCAAAGCTCAGGTCAGAGTCTTAAGGCCCAAACAAACCTGGTCCCAACATTAGGACCACTGTCTTCTTGCAGTTCACAGAGCTTCTCTGTGACCCTGCAGGAAGATTCTTTACTCCGTGCAGACCGACAAGGAAGCACAGGTTTGTGTCAAGTGGGAGCAGAGCTCGTTGCTGCCACCAGCAACAAGGTGTAGGAGGCAAAAACATACGCTTTGGCTCAGTTGTGGGTGCCCTTGATCAGACATCTTGCCTTTCTGAGCAGGCCCTGTGAGGGAATCGGTTTGTCCAAATGGGAAGCTCTGTCTCGGTCTGGGACGCTGGAGATGGTCAGCCACAAATGTCTCTGAGCCACCACAGTTGAGGTCATAGCTCTACCCAGGGAGACAGCAATGCCACGGATTTAGTCTGTTGTCTTCCGCACCTTGTTTATGAGTAGGAGTGGGGTCAGCAGGTTGTTGGGTGGAATGCAGGCTCCGAGATGATGCACATTGCTTGTATATGGTGGGTGGGGCAATCTCTGCGTGTCTTTAAAACCTTAAAATTATGTTCACATGGATTTCTATTTTATGGGAGTACACAACTAACACATACAACTAAACTTTTTCGGTGCAGAATTCTCAGACAAAGATGAAGATGAAAGTGAAGATGGCAATTCGTCTTCCGATAATGAATCACAAGCAGCTCCAGGATACGTTGCTGGTATGATCTTTTATTTATTCTAATTCACATATTCACATTTATTGATGACATTCAATTGGACATCTTCTTTAAACCTGAAACCCAAGCTGCAGCTGTTCAAAGCTGGCTTAGACTCTATTAAACCTGTTCTACACCAGCTTAGATTCTATTAAAAACTGTTCCACACTGGCTTAGACTCTATTAAACCTAATCTACACCAGCTTAGATTCTATTAAAAACTGTTCCACACTGGCTTAGACTCTTAAGCTGTTCCACACTGGCTTGGACTCAATTAAACATGTTCAATACTGGCTTAGACTCTATTAAAACTGTTCTACTCTGCCTTAGACTCTAATAAAACTGTTCAACACTGGCTTAGACTCACTTAAAATAGTTTAACTCCGGCATAGACTCTTAGAACTGTTCCACACTGGCTTAGACTCTATTAAAACTGTTCTCCTCTAGCTTAGACTCTATTAAAACTGTTCTACTCTAGCTTAGACTATTAAATCTGGTCAACACTGGCTTAGACTCTATTAAAACTGTTCTACTCTAGCTTAGACTCTATTAAATCGTATCAGCGCTGGCTTAGACTCTATTAAAACTGTTCTACTCTGGCTTAGACTCTACTAAATCTGGTCAACACTAGCTTAGACTCTATTAAAACTGTTCTACTCTGGCTTAGACTCTACTAAATCTGGTCAACACTAGCTTAGACTCTATTAAAACGGTTCTACTCTGGCTTAGACTCTATTAAATCTGGTCAACACTGGCTTAGACTCTATTAAATCTGGTCAACACTGGCTTTGACTCAATTAAAACTGTTCTACTCTGATTTAGACTCAATTAAACCTGTTTTATTCTGGTTTTGACTCTACTAAACTTGTTCTACACTGGCTTAGATTCTATTAAAAACTGTTCCACACTGGCTTAGACTCTTTTAAGCTGTTCCACACTGGCTTGTGAATTAAACACATTTCAAATTTACATATTTTTTGTAACATTTAATTTACACATCGTTTATTACATGTCCACCTCAGTGGACAGCGTGCATTCTGAACATGAAATATGTCGGCTTGACTTACTGCAGTCCAAATGGAGGGGCTCAAGTGCAATAAAGTCTTCAACAGCTGTGCTTAATAGCAACAATAAATAAATAACAATTTTGAGTACCTGTCCACTGTAGTGACCGTTATGCATCAAAGGGTTAAAACTGGTCAACACTGGCTTAGACTCTATTAAATCTGTTCTACTCTAGCTTAGACTCTATTAAAACTGTTCTACTCTGGCTTAGACTCTATTAAAACTGTTCTCCTCTAGCTTAGACTCTATTAAAACTGTTCTACTCTAGCTTAGACTCCGTTAAAACTGTTCTACTCTGGCTTAGACTCACTTAAAATAGTTTAACTCCAGCATAAAACTGTTCCACACTGGCCTAGACTCTATTTAATCAGTTCTACTCTAGCTTAGTCTCTATTAAAACTGTTCCACTCTAGCTTTGACTCCATTAAAACTGTTCTACTCTGGCTTAGACTCCAATAAAGTGTTCTACTCTGGCTTAGACTCTATTAAAACTGTTCTACTCTGGCTTAGACTCAATTAAAACTGTTCTCCTCTAGCTTAGACTCTATTAAAACTGTTCTACTCTAGCTTAGACTCCATTAAAACTGTTCTACTCTAGCTTAGACTCTATTAAAACTGTTCTATTCTAGCTTAGACTCTAATAAAAGTGTTCTACTCTGGTTTAGACTCTATTAAAACTGTTCTATTCTAGCTTAGACTCTAATAAAAGTGTTCTACTCTGGCTTAGACTCTATTAAAAGTGTTCTCCTCTAGCTTAGACTCTATTAAAACTGTTCTACTCTAGCTTAGACTCCATTAAAAGTGTTCTACTCTAGCTTAGACCCTATTAAAACTGTTCTATTCTAGCTTAGACTCTAATAAAACTGTTCTACTCTGGCTTAGACTCTATTAAAACTGTTCTCCTCTAGCTTAGACTCCATTAAAACTGTTCTACTCTAGCTTAGACTCCATTAAAACTGTTCTACTCTAGCTTAGACTCTATTAAAACTGTTCTATTCTAGCTTAGACTCTAATAAAAGTGTTCTACTCTGGCTTAGACTCTATTAAAACTGTTCTACTCTAGCTTAGACTCCATTAAAACTGTTCTACTCTAGCTTAGACTCCATTAAAACTGTTCTACTCTAGCTTAGACTCTATTAAAACTGTTCTATTCTAGCTTAGACTCTAATAAAAGTGTTCTACTCTAGCTTAGACTATTAAAACTGTTCTACTCTGGCTTAGACTCTAATAAAACTGTTCTACTCTGGCTTAGACTCCATTAAAACTGTTCTACTCTAGCTTAGACTCTATTAAAACTGTTCTATTCTAGCTTAGACTCTAATAAAAGTGTTCTACTCTAGCTTAGACTATTAAAACTGTTCTACTCTGGCTTAGACTCTAATAAAACTGTTCTACTCTGGCTTAGACTCTATTAAAACTGTTCTACTCTAGCTTAGACTCCATTAAAACTGTTCTACTCTAGCTTAGACTCCATTAAAACTGTTCTACTCTAGCTTAGACTCTATTAAAACTGTTCTACTCTAGCTTAGACTCTATTAAAACTGTTCTATTCTAGCTTAGACTCTAATAAAAGTGTTCTACTCTGGCTTAGACTCCATTAAAACTGTTCTTCTCTAGCTTAGACTCCATTAAAACTGTTCTACTCTGGCTTAAACTCTATTAATCCTATTCAATACTAGCTTAGACTCTATTTATTAAAACTGTTCTCCTCTAGCTTAGACTCTATTAAAACTGTTCTACTCTAGCTTAGACTCCATTAAAACTGTTCTACTCTAGCTTAGACTCTATTAAAACTGTTCTATTCTAGCTTAGACTCTAATAAAAGTGTTCTACTCTAGCTTAGACTCCATTAAAACTGTTCTACTCTAGCTTAGACTCCATTAAAACTGTTCTACTCTGGCTTAAACTCTATTAATCCTATTCAATACTAGCTTAGACTCCATTAAAACTGTTCTATTCTAGCTTAGACTCTAATAAAAGTGTTCTACTCTGGCTTAGACTCCATTAAAACTGTTCTCCTCTAGCTTAGACTCTATTAAAACTGTTCTACTCTGGCTTAAACTCTATTAATCCTATTCAATACTAGCTTAGACTCTATTAAAACTGTTCTACTCTGCCTTAGACTCTATTAACACTGTTCTACTCTGGCTTAGACTCTAATAAAACTGTTGAACACTGGCTTAGACTCACTTAAAATAGTTTAACTGGCATACACTATTAAATCTGGTCAACACTGGCTTAGACTCTATTAAAACTGTTCACACTGGCTTAGACTATTTAAACAGTTCTACTTTAGCTTAGACTCTATTAAAACTGTTCTACTCTGGCTTAGACTCTATTAAATCTGGTCAACACTGGCTTAGACTATTAAAACTGTTCTAACTCTAGCTTAGACTCTATTAAAACTGTTCCACACTGGCTTAGACTCTATTAAAACTGTTCTACTCTAGCTTAGACTATTAAAACTGTTCTACTCTGGCTTAGACTCTAACAAAAGTATTCTACTCTGATTTAGACTCAATTAAACCTGTTTTATTCTGCCTTTGACTCTACTAAACTTGTTCTACACTGGCTTAGATTATATTAAACCTGTTCTACACCAGCTTAGATTCTATTAAAAACTGTTCCACACTGGCTTAGACTCTTTTAAACTGTTCCACACTGGCTTTGACTCTATTAAATCTTGTCATTACTGGCTTAGAGTCTATTAAACCTATTCTACACCAGCTTACATTCTATTAAAAACTGTTCCACACCAGTTTAGACTCTTTTAAGCTGTTCCACACTGGCTTCAGCTCAATTAAATCTGGTCAACACTGACTTAGACTCTATTAAACCTGTTCTACACCAGCTCATATTCTATTAAAAACTGTTCCACACCGGCTTAGACTCTTAAACTTTTCTACACTGGCTTTGACTATTAAATCTGGTCAACACTGGCTTAGAGTCTATTAAACCTATCCTACACCAGCTTAGATTCTATTAAAAACTGTTCCACACCAGTTTAGACTCAAACTTTTCCACACTGGCTTCCACTCTATTAAATCTGTTCAACCCTGGCTTAGACTCTATTAAAACTCGCTGTCACCATCTTGTTCTACTATGTCACATTTTGCCACCCATCAAACCGATACAGCACTATGATTAGCCCACCAAAGTGCACAAATTATAGCACTGTATCGGATTTCAAAAGTTAAAGTATCCTTGAAAACAGGCTGGATACCACACCTCTTGTAATGCGGTTATCTACTCTTGCCCTATAGATTCCAGAGTACTTCAGCCATATGTGGAAAGTTCTTGATTTAAAATCTGTGATCTGGCTGGGAAAAGGTTTATTGACTAGTCTTGGCTAAAAAGTAGTCCCAGTAGTAGTTCAGTTTGTGGAGAAACTTTTTTATTAAAAGTTGTCTTGCATTAACTAACACAACCCTTGTCTCCCCCAGTTTCAGAGTCATCTGAGATGGACTTCAGTTCATCTGTTGGAACATCATCCAAAGGTAACAAATGTTTACAATGAATTTAGTTTACATTTTAGCAAAGGTTTTGACAATCGAATTTAAAGTTTAAAATCGTGCTTTAAATTTATTTAATTATTACAGCTAAGAAAATGTGTGCACCTAATTGTTTATCTGTTAGATTGTAATTTGGTTCTTGGGAAGACAATCGTCATAAATCTTTGTCTCTTTTTGGTTTTCAGTCACCATCCGACGTAAAATGGCATATACACGGAGGCCATGGAGCACCAGGGAAGTCAGTGCTGTTATGAAGCACTTTAAAACTCACATAATAAAATCCAAGTTGGCAACAAAAGGAGAATGCGAATTTTGCAAAACAAGTGAGCCAGTTTTGCAAGGGCGTACATGGCAAAACATCAGGGATTTTGTGAGAAACAAAGGACTTGCCTCAAAGCATAAATTTACCTAACTCGACAGTGGACTATTTCTAAGGTTTTTGTTGCCGTTCATTGCATGAGCCACCACTGCTGGTGAGGTAAATTTAGGATATTGTTATAAGCACTTCACACACAAACTGTTAAAATAATTTGTTCACTGTTTTTCAGTCTGTTTATGCAAGTTTTGTTCAGTTGTTTTAACTTCAATTAGTGACAAATTAATAGAAAAAAATTAAATTTTGCCTCAAATGTTGGGAATGATTTTGTAAATAGAGATATTTATTAAATGCAGATTTCTTTCTGATATATAAAATAATTAACAGTAATTTTTATTGCTATTGCACTTTTAAAATTCTTTCATTGTCTTTTCGTCCTTTGTTAAATAAAAAAAGTTTTAATAATTGAAGTTGCTTGTTTATTATTTTAAAAGTATATATTGTTTAACCATTTGATGGTTAGCTTGAAAGACTACAGAACTTTACATTTTTACATGCTGTGGTGCCATTTTTTGGAGTATTTCACCTTTATATACATCAATACAACCCTTATATTCTAAATTTTAATTATATAAATGTAAAATGTTCATAGCAACAAAATATTTTACTAAAAAATGTAATTATCTATAGAGAAATTGAAAATCGTTTTTGTTTTTGCACACATTTTTCATTATACAGAAATTCCACAGCTTTATCCCTCAAAATTGTCAATAGAAAAAAGTTTCACACAATCCTTTCAAACAACCACAAATTTATTTGAAGTGCTTCCATAAAATAGTTTCTGAGATACACTCATTTATATAAACTAACAAAAATGAACATAAATCATAATAATCTGCAGGACTCTAACATAATAATGTTGAATATTTGCAGCTAATTTTTCAGTAGTATATAGTTTCCTTTTCTCTCACTAATAATAACAACAATAATAAAGAATATTGCGTGAATATATACGTGAGGGAACTGAAAGTGAAACTTAAACATCATCCGGCGCTGTAATGGCGTCAAGTGCTTCACGGAGGGAGGATGTACTGTTTGTATGAGGGATAGTTTTTGCAAAGCAAAAACAGCATAAAAAACTGATTCAACTAGACAATCGAGAAACATAATCCCTCCATTGTATCCTTGGTCTTCCTTTAGGTCTCCTGGTGGTAACTATGATCTCATTATTTTGGTCACTATCCAAAGCTTACGACAGTAGGTGAGGGTAGAAACCTAGACTTCCCACTGTAGATGCAGGACCAATCTGCCAATTCATCTTGCACATTAGTTTTGCCTTGCTTGTACCCATCTTTAGTGGTGCTTCAGCGCCTCTTAATTGTATCCCAGCACCACTAAAACTTATAATTTACTACATATATTTCAAACACATCACACACCCTGCACCTAAAAGGGTTTGATCCTGCTCGTCTTGGCTCTGAGCGCTTTTGACTGCTCAGTGATGTTTGAACTGGAAGGCGTGGTCTTTCCACAACTTGTATGTTTCTTCTCTGACCTCTTTGTATTTGAAATGTGTCATGGCCTTACAATGTCTGAAAAGTCCCTGTAAACCATGAAGTAGCCAAGAGTTGTATATTTTTATAAACAGACCTCATAAACCCTTATTGTCTCCACAAGCCACCATCTTGTCATGACCTCGTAAGTCTGTGAAATGTCATATGTGAAATGTATGTATGTTCTGAAAGTATTGTTTTATTTTTCAAGTGAGGTTTTTCTTTTATAGATAAAATAAAATTTTTTGACATACTTTATATGTTGAAAAGATGCAGGGAAAGATGTGTCCCTGTAAACCACCCATATGTCATAGTGGTGTCATAAACCATATATGCATGTATGTGTGTGTGTGTGTGTGTGTGTGTGTGTGTGTGTGTGTGTGTGTGTGTGTGTGTGTGTGTGTGTGCTCTTTCTTCTCGATCCCCAGTGAGTCGTGGAGGATGGCTGCTTATACTGAGCCAGGATTCTCTGGAGGTTTCTTCCTGTTAAAAGGGAGTTTTCCTCTCCACTGTCGCTTTATGCTTGCTTAGTATGAGGATTGCTGTAAAGTCACTGACACTAGTCAGTGACTTGATGCAATTTGCTGGGTTCCTTATATAGGAAACTTTATTTCTGATTGGCTTAATTAACTGACCTGAATTGGAATGTTTATTAGGTGAAGTGCCTTGAGACGACTCTTGTCGTGATTTGGCGCTATATAAATAAAATTGAATTGAATCAGTGCTGGTCTTCACAAGCACAGCAGCTGCTCCAGATGGACTCCAGCAGCAGAAGACCCCACCAGGTGTCTCCTTTGTCAGGTAAGAACAGGAACCAGAGGCTAGAATTCACACAGGATCACCTGAGCTGGACCAGAAGACAGGAAAAACCTCTCCTGGTCTGATGAGTCTGGATTTTAGCTGCAACATTCTCATCATCGGTGGAGCTGTGTGATGCTGTCAAGCCAGTTTGGACTAGAACCTCTGAAGGTGACCATCACTAACCTGACAGGGTGAGGTTGCTGTGAGCTGCTCCCACACTGTTGCTGGCATTCAGCATCACGTTTCCTGTCAAGCTGCTCAGTGAGACCTTCAGCGTGTGATTGGTCAACCAGGGGTAGCTTCGTGAGTCCAGGATGAGGAAGTCAGAGGTGTTAGCCACCAAGTGACCCCACTGGTCCACAAAGGTGAGGGTGGCTGGGGGATTGGACCGTACCAGGGCAAGGAGGAGCAGGAACAGGCCAGGGTCGGACGTTTCACTGTACTGGGTGTTAACCCAGAGGATCTCTGGCTGGACTGGGACACAGAGCAGAAGAGCAGCTTCACTGACAGTTAGCTGAAACCAGAACTGTTTACTTACAGCCCTGGAAGGTCCCCCAGACTTACACTGGACATTGATCATGACTGTGGCATTGTAGCTCTTTCCTGTCCTGGGGTTTGATGCCACACACACCAGCTCCCGGTCCCACTTCCTGGCCTGCAGGAAGAAGGTGTTGTTTGGGTTGGTTCTTGGTTTCACCACCTCAGGATCCTTCTGTGACATCAGCAGCAGACGACTAGGGTTTGGTTCCTGCTGCTTCCCGTTCAGATACCAGGTCAGCAGAGGAGGGGCCCGAGGATCCCAGCCGTCCAACTGGCAGCTGAATCTGTGTGTCATGTTCTCCTGAAGCGTCACAGCTGACTGCTGCCAGCCATCGATCTTAGCAGCTGGCTCAACCTTACCTGTGGTAGCAAAACGTAGAGTTACTGCAGACTGTTGATCTCAAGTTTTATGGTTGGAATTTAACTTCTGTGAGTCAGAAATGTGAGGAAGCCCTCAGGAAGGTTTAGTGTCCAGCTGTCTGTCAGAAAGGGTCATTTGCAACAAAGACATGAATAAATTAGACAATTTGAAAATAAATTCCACTCAGAACGATTCCACAACAGTTGCAAGTTCGTAACCATACGCCCCACAGGACACAGTCACAAATGAAACCTCTCACCAAAGTCAGAAAAATCCTGGAAAATCCCAACAGGAACTTCTGTGCATTTTGTGTCTTTAACTAATGGAGTCAACGTTCAGAGAGACACCTGTTGAAACAAAACTAATAACATGCTAGTAAACGTCTTACCTGTCCAGGACAGGGCCAAGGTGTTGAAGAACACGACCGCTGAGCCTGAAGTCCACGTCCGAAGTGACACACTCTCCATACTGACCGGAGCACCCACACACACCTGTACAGCTACCTGCTCAGACAGGAAATGACCTCAGTCGGTCAACTAGCCATTGGTTAAGAAAGGAATGTGCATACATTATAGCAGGGGTGTCCAAAGTGTGGCCCGTGGGCCTCTCTCAGTCCTCTACTGCGACACCAGAATTAATACTTTAAAAAGCACAGGTCAGGTGCCTCATTTATCAACTGTCTTTATGCACAGATCAGGCTTGGGTTATCTCCCTTAATGTGAAGTTGAAATGTTAAACATTCATTATAATGTTAATAATGTGTGAATATACTGATAAAACAAATCATTATTCAATTCAACAAATAGCCTAATCTGGTGTGATTCAAGATCTGGAAAAAATCATCATTGAAATCAGAAAACATTACAGAAAATCCATGAGTTAGGAGATCCTTGTTGGGCCGCTGCTGTGAAAAAAGCAAGAAAACTTCTGCCGCTCACAATTCGACAACAGATTATGAAAGAACAGACAACGCTAGAAACACGCATATTTTTCCTCATGTAAAGAAGTGAGTCTACTCTTTGTTTTGGTAGTTTGGCTCTTCAAAAAAAAAAAACTATAAAAACCAGTGGCGGCTGGTGAAAAATATTTTTGGTGGGGCTGTGCTATTTTTTTTTTTAAACAAACTTGTGCTTTCTGAGCTTTGTGCACAACTTCACTATTTCCTGAATTAAGCACAGCTCTTTTATTTCCTGTCTTACATCATTGGACAAACTGATTAATCCAGGTGTGTCTGACTATTGGCACGCTGCCTTGCAGACCAAGGTTGAAAAATACTGCATTAAATTGCACATAAAATAACACGACCATAAATGGTAAATAGGCAATGCAAGAGGCAAGTAACAAAAACATTTTGTTTAATTTCAACATTTGAGTGAACACCAAAAATTACGAGCAGGTCACTGTTACAGTAATGGTAGTAAACACCACTTAGACAAAATGCCAGAAATTTACACTGTTAAATATTTCTGGAGTATTGTGCCAAGGTCAACTTTATACAAAGATCAAGTGGATGCATTTGTGTGTGTGTGATACCTCATTTGTACAGAAATTTTGCCCTTCTGTCCTTCTGAGTGGCAAAGCTCTCGATTAGCTTTTTATTGAAGTCAGGAATGTTTGTGACAAGCTTTTTTTTCCATGGAGAGCATGGCAAGAGCATTCAGCCCATCCTGTGTCATGGTGTTCCTCAAGGAAAGTCTTAATCCTCTTTAAAGTAGAAAAGCACCTTTCTGATTCGGCTGTGGTCATGGGTGTGGTGACAAGAATCTTCTTTTGCATGGCTCAGGATGGTGTGAAAACCTGTCATATGATAAATAAAAAAACAACAGATAAGTACAAAGGAAACACTTTCATAGGAAATAATGTCATCAGTATCCTCTTACAAATGTCATATTTCCCAGTTTTTGGGACAATAAAACATTTCTGATTCTCAATCAGATGTTTTTACCTCAAATGTAAAAACATCTGATTCTCAATCAGATGATTGCATCCAGCTAGCCAAGCCTTCCTGGTGTACCAATTTTGGGAGAAGCCTAGTGTGTACAGTTTACCTCTCTCCTTCTCCTGCTGGCTTATCTTTACATCGGGCTGATCTGGTCCAAGCTCTTTGGCATTAAGTTTTTCCACCATAGTTCTCCTCTCGAACGGATGCTGGAGAAGAGACCGAACTGAATTCAGTGGCTGCTGAGATCCGGTATCCATGCTGGTTGTAGTCACCGGCGGCGTCCATGTTACATCTGCGTCACGAACAAAAACGACTCTGCCGAGTTCTACCGAACACCAACGAGTCCTTGGGCGGTAGCTCCATCGCCCATCATGCTTCTGAAACGTTCTGAAACAACGTCGACGCTGATTGGATACATTCCCATTCCTACCGTTTGATATTCTTGTCAGCAATTGGACAGCTGGTCTCGTCCTGTTTGGGCGATTGAAAAACAGCACACACAGCCTCCACCGCTCGGCAGAGACCGGCAGAGACCGGCAGAGGCCAATATAATATATATATATATATATATATATATATATATATATATATATATATATATATATATATGATTTATTTTTTTTACAAAACACACAATTAACTTAGAATATGTGATTATTGTTAATTTTATTTATTTATTTTTTTTATAAAAATTAAAAACACGGAAAAACTGGGAGGGCGGCGCTCTATCGCCCTCTACTGGCCAGCCGCCACTGATAAAAACGCCAAACACGCTGGCAGCCACGGGCTTTTTTCAGGAAATGGCTGGCAGTTAATGACTTAAGAGTTTTATGTCATGTCGATTGTTCTTTAACCCTTAAAATCAACTGACATGTTCAAACTAAAAGCTTTTATTTTGAAGCCCGGGTCAGTCCGATACCGTGGTCCCGGTATGGAATCTATCCTGTTGCCATATTACAAGACATTAGGCGCCTGAGAAGATGCAAGACTTTTTATCTATCTTCTTGTAATGGACCTGTAGAGCAGTGTTTTCCAACCTTTTTTGACTCGTGGACCCCTAAGCCGTTTTCTCGTACCACGATGGATGATTCCTAAAATTAGAACATACAACTGAATATTAAATGAAAAATAATTTCATTAAATATCCGTAATACATAACCACATATAAATTCTCACATGAATTCTTTAATTTTAACAATCCTGATACAGGGTCCAGACTCCATGTGGAAACTTTCTGTAGCTCTGCATTCAGATCTGCACCACAGCCAGTGGCTCTGACTGGACTCAATCATTTCTGATCCATATCAAACTGGATCACGTCCATTCTGCATTCGGTGTGAACAAGGCTTCAGGCCCTCTCTTAGTAGCAGCTGCAGCCCTGCTCTGGTTTTTTCTTCATAGTGTTTCTTAACTTGATGTCACTTGATGTCATCCTGAGAAGGCAATGCAAATATATAAGCAGGTGGGCTGAAGCTGGAAGGTGCATGGGAGTTCGTCCAACCAAATTTGAGTTAAAAATGAGAAAATAAAATGTTTAGGTAAAAACAGCTTTAAAAGGGTCATTAGCTGCTTTTTAAAAAGTGTCCAGACTGTCGATGCTGCATAAGGATAAAGGAAGATCGTTCCAAAGTCAGGGTGCAACAGTCTGGAAGGAGCGATCACCTCAACTTTTGTATCTGGTCTTTGGAACTTCTAGAAAGTTCTGGTGGGTGGACCTGAGGGCTCGAGTTGGAGCATAAGGCTTTAATAGTTCAGTACTATAGAGAAGAGCTTTACCATGTAGAGCCCTGAAAGTTCTAGTCAGGATTCTAAAATGAGCTCTAAAGTTAACGGGTAACCAGTGCAGAGGCATTAGAATAGGAGTGATGGGTGCTCTTCTGTTTGCTCCAGTTAGGAGCCTCGCTGCAGAGTTCTGGACCAACTGAAGGCGGCCAAGGGCTTTTTTGTTAAATGGCCTGTATTTGATATAGCGCCTTCTATAGTCCTGGGCTCCACCAAGGTACTTTGCAACACAATCAGTCATTCACACACACACTTTCACACGCTGGTGGTGATGAGCGACACTATAGCCACAGCTGCCCTGGGGCGCACTGACAGAGGCCATTCACAGGCGACATCAGTCCCTCCAACCACCACCAGCAGGCAAGGTGGGTTAAGTGTCTTGCCCAAGGACACAACAACAGCAATAGACTGAGCCTGAATATTTTCCATAATTTTTCAGTAGCTTAATGAGTTTTGGGAAAAATTCATTGGGTTTTTCTTAAAAAGCAATATGTCATCCTCAAATAATCCTATTTCTACCCCTTTAATTTCTTCCTCATGCCTAATCATTTGGGCTAGTGATTCAATAAATAGCGCAAATAGACGGAGAGAGACTACACCCCTGTCGTGTCCCCCTTTCTAGAGTGAAACTGTGTCACACTCATGGACGTAATTTTTTTTTTGGGGGGGGGGGACATGTCCCCCCACTTTTTTCAAAGTCAAGTTTTGACCCCTGTACTTTTTACCATCCAAAACAATATTACACTATATTAAATTGACACTGGTTGAGCTCTAGGACCAAGCAGAAAACAACCGTTTGTGTTGAAGCCTGTTTCCCATTAGAGTATACTGTAAAGATTCACCCCCCTCCCCCCTCTGTGTCCCCCCCACTTCTAAAGTGAAAATTACGTCCATGGTCACACTACAATTAATTCACCGATTCCTCACTGAATTCGAATTTTTCCAGTAACTACTAAACAAATACCCAACTCACACTCTCAAAAGCCTTTTTGGCATCTTTGCTTACTAGAATTGCACTTTTCCCCTTGTTTTTAGCATTTTTTATTACATATGGAGTCCTTCATTTGAAAATAATCTGTTCTAGAGTACATGTTACGCGGGGCCGAGTGATGGGTATTATCCTGGTCAATTGGGTGAAGTACTTGCCACACACCCATTTCTGACATCATTGTATTCATGTACCTATTTTGTTTCTCTTCATGCATGTAGTGTCTAACCCGTAATTCAGGACTACGTTAAAATCTCCATCACACAATAATGTCTCTTCCATTTCCAAATTTATGAGATCAAAAATGTTTTTGTAAAATGCGTTTCCACTTTCTGGAGGGGCCTACACATTGAGAAGTGTCACCGACTGATTTTCTAATTTCCGCTTTATCATGATATATCTTCCTTTTTTTGTCCTTGATTTCTTTGATAAATTTAAAGTTCATTTTGTTGGAAATCAATGTCATCACACCCTTCTTGTGATGACGTCCAAATGAACTGGAAAATGAATTATTGTATGCCAACTTTTAAAACTTAACATTCTTGTGTTAGCCCAGTTTCTTCAAGAAAAACCACCTGTTATTTTCTCTCTCCTAAATTTGGATACAATTTTTTTTCATTATTTAAGCTGTTAAAATACAGTGACACCACCATTACGTTGTTATGTTGCATTGATTGTTTCCCTTGATATGCCTGATCTCTCCACTGTATAGCTGTTAATCAGTGTTTTCTCAAGAACAAAGAACACACAAACTGGACTCTCCAACAAAAAAGGGCCCTGCTCTCCATGGGCCCTTTTTCAAAACAGGGGCCCCCCTAATGGTGTGGGGTGTGCTCAACATAGACCTTCCCATACCACTAGATAAGTCCAACAATCATCAATTGAATAGCCCTGTCAATTTACATTTAACCATAAACATTAGAGAAGTTTCATTTATAAGGGAGGGAGGATAGACTTGTAAGTCCCCATTTCTATTCTTCCTTAGTAAAACTATTTCTAACTAAAAACTGAAGTCTCCAGTTTACCCATCGGGGAAGAAAAAAAAATCATTTGTAATCTGAACATTTTCCTCATTGTTTTTTTTTGCTAACCCAGCAAACGTGTAATCTTTAACTTAAACACTGGAGGTATTTTTTTCATCCAGGTTGCCCAGCAATGTTTTCTCGTTCTCTCCATCTTCTTCTCCTCCTCATCGTTTCAATTCTTGCAGCCTTTCTGTTGCCCGGCTTGCCGCGTCTTGTCTGCCATCCTTGGGTGCATCAGACCCCTGATTCATGACCTGCCTTTCTCCGCCACGTTGCCATGGGGATGTTCTGCAGATCCGCTCTACTACTGAGAGTTTGTTGAGGTGTTTCTCATCAGGTTCCAGCCCTCCTTTCGACATGTCCCTCGCTGCTTCTTCAGCGTTGTTGTAGGTTTTGGGCCTGTCCGACCAGTGGATCCTTATCCTTGTCATGATGGGTGGTAATTTCTTAACCCACATGAAGAATCACTCAGGGATAAGGTAAGAGATGATAATACAATCTTTATTTTATAAAGAAAACAAAGCGAAAACTGAGGGCGCTGATCCAAACGGGACAGGAAACGAGGCAACTCCGACTCTAAGAAGAACGGTGAGAGTGATTAGAAACTGAGAACCAGGAGATGAATAGAAACTGAGAACCAGGAGATGAATAATCATGAGAGGAACGGGCTTACTGAGTTGAGCAGGACGAGGGGCAGGAGGGAGAGGCAAGTCAGGTTGATGCAGGGAGGTGATGGTCGCTGGAGGAGATGCTGGATCCAGGAAGGCAGGTGAGCGGTGGAGAGCAGGAGGCCAGGGAAGCTGAACGACGCTTGTGATAAATCACACCTCAGGCAGGTGGAGGGAATCCAGGGCTGGTACAGACAAGAATGCAGAGCTGGGTTAGTTCAGGTAAACAAGTCTTAAAGTCAAGGCACAGTTAAGGACGTGGCTAGATGTACCCAACAGTAGAGTATCAACCGGCATTGAGGTGTGGCAGCACCGCTCCTTAAATCCTCTGGCCAGGCTGATGGTAATTAGCTGCAGCTGGTGCTCCCCAACACACTCACCTGCAAACAATGAAGGGAAAATAGCAGCAGAAGCAGAGAGAAGGCAGAACCATGACAATTACACCCCCCCCCCCCCCCCCACCCCACCCCACCCCCACCCCCCAAGGGACGCCACCCGGCGGCCCAGCCGAGGAGGAGAAGGAGGAGGACTCAAAATCCCTGATGAGAGAGATGTCATCAATCCAAGAAGCGGGAACCCACTGACGATGCTCCGGACCGTATCCCTCCCAATTCACAAGGTATTGACGACCGCGACCCCGGGGGCGAACATCCAGGATGCGCCGGACCCGGTAGCCGAGACTGCCGTCAGAGAGCCGGACAGGAGGAGGAGGCTCAGCAGGAGGGCACAGAGGACTGGACACGAAGGGCTTGACCAAGGAGACATGGAAGACCGAGTGGACCCTCATGGACGAGGGCAGGGACAGGCGCACAGAAACAGGACTGAGGACTTCAGTGATGGTGTAGGGACCGATGAACCGGTGGTAGAGCTTCCTATTGGCACCCTTAAGTTTAATGTCACGGGTTGACAACCATACCTGCTGGCCAGGAGCATAGGCGGGGGCCGGACGGCGGCGCCGGTCAGCCAGCCGGCGGTTGCGGTTGGCAGTCCGTTGGAGGGCGGCTCTGGCCTGGTTCCAGGTGCGCCAAGCACGACGGATGAACTGGGGAACTGAAGCAGGGGAATCTGAGTCGGAGGGGAACAGAGGTGGCTGATAACCCAGAGAGATCTCGAATGGGGACTGACCTGTGGTGGAGGAGACATGAGAGTTGTGTGCATACTCAATCCATGCCAATTGGTCGCTCCATCCAGACGGGTTATTGGAGCAGACACATCTCAGCATGGCCTCCAGCTCCTGGTTCATCCGCTCGCACTGGCCATTGGTTTGTGGGTGGAAGCCAGAACTCAGAGCAGGTCGAGCCCCCAGATGGGCGGCAAACTCCTTCCATACTCGAGACAGGAATTGAGGACCCCGGTCTGAGAGAATCTCCAAGGGGATCCCATGTAGATGGAAAACCTGATAGATGAGGAGGTTGGCAGTCTCTGCAGAGGTTGGAAGGTGTTTAAGAGGGACAAGATGACAGGATTTGGAGAACCGGTCAACAATGGTGAGTATAGTATTAAAACCCCTGGAGACGGGTAGCCCGGTAACAAAGTCCAATGCTATGTGGGACCAGGGGCGTGATGGAATAGGCAGGGGGCAGAGGAGACCATGAGGTGACTGGTTGCTTGACTTGTTTCGGGCACGAACCTGGCATGCGCCTATGAATTCCTTAGTGTCCCTGTAGAGAGACGGCCACCAAAACGTCCGACGGATGAGGGCAAGAGTTCTACCCACGCCAGGGTGGATAGAAAACCTGGAGGTGTGGGCCCACTTAATTACTGCACTGCGAACAGAGGAGGGAACATAGGTTCGGTTAGGGGGGCCCGTACCTGGGTCAGGGTCCCTCTGCTGGGCCTCTAGAACCTTGGTGGAGATGTCCCAAGTAATAGACCCAAGGATACAGGATGGAGGAAGGATAGTGGTGGACTCAACCTCCCTGTCCGGGGCGTATAGGCGGGATAGGGCGTCAGGTTTGGTGTTCTTGGTTCCGGGTCTGTAAGAAATGAGGTAGTTAAAGCGGGAAAAGAACGGAGACCAGCGGGACTGGCGGGGATTAAGCCTCTTGGCCTCCCTCAGGTACGCTAGATTCTTATGATCCGTCAAAATCAGGATGGGATGTTCCGCCCCCTCAAGCCAGTGCCGCCACTCCTCCAGCGCCAGTTTTATGGCCAGCAGTTCCCGGTCTCCTACGTCATAGTTCTTCTCGGCTGGGGACAGACGACGAGAGAAGAAAGCACACGGATGCAGGGTCTTATCGACTGGGAAGACCTGGGATAATACAGCACCTGCTCCGGTGTCAGACGCATCCACCTCCAGGGTGAATTGCAGGAGAGGATCTGGTCGGGTGAGGATGGGTGCCTGGGTGAAACGCTTCTTCAATGTCAGGAAGGCCTCTTCTGCCTCAGGAGTCCAAGAAAAAGACTTGTTAATGGAGGTGAGTTGTGTGAGAGGGGTGGCTATGGTACTGTAGTCCTTAATGAATCTGCGGTAGAAATTGGCAAAGCCCATGAACCGTTGCAGCTGTTTTCTGGTCGTGGGTGAGGGCCATTCCTCCACAGCGCTGATCTTCTCCGGATCTGCCTTCAACTTTCCGCTCTCCAGAACAAAGCAGAGAAATTTGACGGACGAGGAGTGAAATTCACACTTCTCTGCCTTGACAAAAAGACGATTCTCTAAGAGGCGTTGGAGGACTGCTCGGACATGATGGCGGTGTTCCGTGGGAGATCTGGAAAAGATGAGAATGTCATCCAGATAAACAGTGACAAACTTGTTGAGGTAATCGCTGAGAACTGAGTTAATCAGGGACTGAAAGACCGCGGGAGCATTGGTTAGTCCAAAAGGCATGACCAGATATTCAAAATGCCCGAGAGGGGTCTTGAAGGCGGTCTTCCATTCATCTCCCTCTCGGATTCGGACTAGATGATAAGCATTTCGGAGGTTGAGTTTAGTAAATATGGAGGCATCATTGACTGGGTCGAATGTGGATGAGAGCAAGGGAAGTGGGTACTTGTTTTTGATGGTTATGTGGTTTAATTCCCGGTAGTCAATGCAAGGACGTAGAGATCCATCCTTCTTGGACACAAAAAAAATCCCGCTCCCAGGGGTGAAGTGGAAGGTCTTATTATGCCCGCAGCAAGGGATTCCGAAATGTATTGAGTCATGGCTTCATGTTCTGGTCTAGACAAGTTATACAACCTGCTGGTGGGTAGTTTGGAATCTGGGATGAGATCGATGCGCATGTCGAAGGGTCTGTTGGGTGGTAACGTCGAGGCGTGGTCCTTGCTGAAGACCTGCCGGAGGTCGTGGTATTCAGGAGGTACTCCTGACAGGTCAGGAGACTCAGGGGTCTTGGCCTTGGGGTTGAGTATAGGGATAGAGGCAGATGATAAACAGTGGGACAAACAAAAACTGCTCCAGTTACAGATACTCCCTGTTCTCCAATCAATTTGTGGATTATGCGTGGTTAACCACTCGTGGCCCAGGACAACAGGTGACTGAGGGGATGGAAACACAAAGAAGGAGATTACCTCATGGTGGTTACCGGATACCAGTAGGTTTATGGGAACCGTCTGGTGGGTGATGGTAGTCAGGGAACAACCGTCCAGGGAGGACGCACGGAGGGGCGTAGAAAGAAGAACTGTGGGAATCTCCAGTTGTTGCACCACAACCTGGTCCAGACTCTCCAGGTTCTCAGAATCTGGGCAGAAGGCTAACTGATCCTGAAGATCTTCTGATAGGGCCTGAGAAAAGGCGGCTCGGAGCGACGCGTCATCAAGTATGGAAATGGATGCTAAAGTTCTAAATTCAATGGCAAAGTCTAGTACAGATAATCTCCCCTGACGTAAGTTCCAGATCTGTTTAGCTATTTCCGCAGGGTTGTCGGGAGTGTCGAAAATTTGTGTGAATTCAGACAGAAACTCGGGGAGAGGACCGAGTAAAAAACCAGGCTGGCGACTCCTAGCCTCGGCCCATAGCAATGCCTTCCGACGTAATAATCCTACAATAAACGAAATTTTTACCGGATCGCTTGAAAAAGTGTCAGGAGATCAATCAAACGCTAATTTACATAACAACAAAAAACTCCGACATTTGCCGGGCTCACCTGAAAAGGTGTCTGGTGTGGGAGAATCTGCGACCCGGAAATGACCTGGTGATGGTGGAACCGGAAGTGATGAAGCGGGTGGAGCGGAGGGATTGGATGAGGCTGTAGCACTGAGTTGAGCCCGCAGCTGGTGGTTTTCAGCGTCGAGTTGTAGTAACCGTTGATTGGTGATAGTTAACTGTTCGAGCACGGACTGAATGGATCTTTCGTGCTGGGTTAATGTGGAAACGCCGGAGGAAGTGATTCTGTCATGGGATCGGTAGTTTTGCCGGTTGATTCTGTCATGATGGGTGGTAATTTCTTAACCCACATGAAGAATCACTCAGGGATAAGGTAAGAGATGATAATAAAATCTTTATTTTATAAAGAAAACAAAGCGAAAACTGAGGGCGCTGATCCAAACGGGACAGGAAACAAGGCAACTCCGACTCTAAGAAGAACGATGAGAGTGATTAGAAACTGAGAACCAGGAGATGAATAATCATGAGAGGAATGGGCTTACTGAGTTGAGCAGGACGAGGGGCAGGAGGGAGAGGCAAGTCAGGTTGATGCAGGGAGGAGATGGTCGCTGGAGGAGATGCTGGATCCAGGAAGGCAGGTGAGCGGTGGAGAGCAGGAGGCCAGGGAAGCTGAACGACGGTTGTGATGAATCACACCTCAGGCAGGTGGAGGGAATCCAGGGCTGGTACAGACAAGAATGCAGAGCTGGGTTAGTTCAGGTAAACAAGTCTTAAAGTCAAGGCACAGATAAGGACGTCGCTAGATGTACCCAACAGTAGAGTATCAACCGGCATTGAGGTGTGGCAGCACCGCTCCTTAAATCCTCTGGCCAGGCTGATGGTAATTAGCTGCAGCTGCTGCTGGTGCTCCCCAACACACTCACCTGCAAACAATGAAGGGAAAAGAGCAGCAGAAGCAGAGAGAAGGCAGAACCATGACAATCCTACTCATAGGTGTCTGAAAGCGTATCATTTTACCTTTCAAAATCTTTTTAATTTCTGAGTAGGATTTGCATTTCTTCCACACTTCTGTGCGGTAGTCGTGTTTGAAAAATATGTGTGCGCATTGAATATTAAGTTCGGTCTCCACCGACAATGCGAGCTTTTGGCGGGTTAGCCCCTCCACCAGTTTTATCACAGACTCATTGTCCCGTTCAGTGACATTGTAAATCCTCAAGTTGCAGCGTCTTCCATGTCCTTCCACCTCGGTCAGCTTTTCTTGTAATTTTGCTTGTTGTTTCCACAGAGTGAGGATGGCTTCTCTCGCTTT